GGCTGCAGACGGAGTCCAGAGCAGTCCCTCAGAAACACTGGGAATCAGGTTGTTTGTCTTGGATCTTCTCCTAATTCCTAGCTAGCCTCTTTGCACCTCAGTTTCCTCAATTATAAAATGGGAATAATCATTCCTGTTCTGGCCTATTTGACAGCATCATGCTGGGATCAAACGAGATAACATACGTGAAAGTCATTTTTCTTCAGACAGTGATGGGACAGGCCAGACCGGCAGCCAGATAGCAAAACTAGGCTCAACCACTGGAATGTGTAGGCATCCGATTTACATCAGGAGTTAAAAGCAGATCTAGACTCACAGTTTTAGTGCATGTTGTCCCCTCTGCCTGGAATGGCCTTCTACCTTTGCTAAACTCCTACTCTTTTTTAAGAACCCAGTTCAAACTGGGTTAGTGCCTTCAGAATTAATCATTCCATCTTCACCACTCCTCTGACCTTCTGTACTCTAATAGCACTTTTTCACTCTGTACAGTAGAGATTTACTTATGTGCAAAAGATTTACTTTGAGGGCAAAAACCATGTATTTTTAATCTTTGTATCCACCTTCTCACCTACCACCATTGTGTGGTCAACACTGGCACATGGCAGGTGTCAACCTATTTACAGTGTTGACTATGGAATGGGCAAGAGCTCAAAGTCAAGAAGGAGGTAAACATCAGAGAGACCGAGGAAAACATAAAAGATGAGACAGTGCCCACAAAGTGGTGCTGCAAGGAATCCAAGAAGGCAATATCAGCAAGGTGTGTCCTAGGCACTAAGGGTACAGCCACAGGACAAGAGTCAAAGCCGAACTGCAAGTTTTGGAAAGATCTGGTCCTGGAAACCCTAGGGATTGAACAAGAGCAGGGGCACCCTACTGAGGTCTAGGGACCAAGGAGCAGGGGTATCATGCTAAGTCCCATAACCTAAACTGGAACAGGAGTGCTGGGGACAAGGAATGAGGGCAGAGAATAGCACCAGGACAAAGAGTCAGAACAATGCTAAATGAAACACAGGTACTGAAGCCTGGAACTTCTAGTTAGTTAACATTCCCAGGTCTGCCAAAGTTGAGTTAGCAGCTGGAGATTAGTGACCTTGGCTATGAAACTGAGGGACTCCAGGGGCAAGAATCATGAAAAATTTAAGCAGTGACCATTTTCATGAAATGAGAATTAGAGATGGAAGAGATTCTTAGATCTATAAGAAATACTAGGAGTCATCGAGTCTAACATCCCCAGCCTACACATGGGAAACTAAAGACCCAGGGAAAAAGAAAAGGGACTTGCCCAAATTCACTCAGTTAGGGCAGAACCGAAGCTAGAACCCAGGTCTTCTATCAGTCTAGTTCTCGTCCCCACAAAGGCTATTTGTCTTTAGTCAAGCAGGTTTCCTGACAGTTCCACTAACACACCAGGTGTCCAACTATAGCTGCTCCAGAATCTTGGGCAGCCCCCAATGTACCCACTTTAGTGAGCACAAGCACTTCTGCCCAACTGTGAAATGCAGGCTTCCACCTTTGGGCAGAGTTTAGAGTCAATGTTCCACAGGAAATGTGCAGGTAGCAACTCCACCTGGGGCTTGGGAAGAAAAAGATGCTGTGGTATATATTTGCTGCAAAGTAGCACACAAACCTGTTTACACACACCCTGCCCTGTGCATGGGAGAATTGATCCCAATCACTGTGCTACCCCGTGAATTTTCTAGGAGTATCTAGAGAAGCCCAGTGTCCAAGGTAAAGCTGATAGCACTTGGAACACACAGTTTTCACCACCACAAGAACATTAAAGGAAGGCCCGCCAGGTCTAAAATCTCAAAGTCTTTCTCAGGCTAGAGACAAGACATGGCTCAGAAGAAAAGAATTGAGACTTTCAGGGAATTAGAGACACTGACTCCCAGACTTTAAGAGCTTTCATCCAGGGAAGGGTACATATGAAAAAGGATGTAGAAAAATAACCCTCAGTCTTACCTCATCTATACAGAAAGTATGTGAGCTTCTTCAAGTACTTCAAGTCCCGGTCCCACTGTTTACCTACTGTATGAGCCAGGGACAGTTGAGTTACCCATTCTGAGCCTCATTACTAAAGCACTGATTATAACACCTGTGCAAAAGTTTACTGTAAAGATAAAATAATATCTGTAAAGCATTTAGCACATTGTCTGGCCTATGATAAGCACTAAGTAACTTTGTGTTTATTGCTTTCTTTTGTTCATGGAAAGAAATGGTTATACCACAGCCTAGCTCTGTCTACCTGTGCTCTCCCCTCCTGCTTGGCTGTCCCTCTGGACCCTTCTATGCAGACATCCTACCTGAGTCCCCAGCCCTAACAGCTCACTCCTCCCCTCTTATCCTTTGGACATTAAAGGCAATTAATGGAAATTAAAGGCAATTGGTCAGCTATGTACCACACTAGGGTCCTTGAAGGTCAGCAATCATCAGCTTAGTCCAAGGCTACTCCTGCCTTCCCAAGTGTCCCTGCATCTCCCTGACCAAGCCCCTCACCAGGGTAGCACCTAGTTTAGTACAGTTCTTATTTTTTCCATGATGAATCCACCCCTAACAGCTTATAGCTACCCAACTGGCCTGGCTCTCTCTGGGCCTCAGGCAAAATAAGAGTACTTCAAAAAGTTCATGAAAAAATTCATATCATCTTTTAATTCCATTTTTCCATGAACTTTTTGAAGTACCCTAGTAGATGCCTGGCAGGCCAGACCTAGGCAAAAACAGCTGGAGATAATTCCCAGACTCAATCTACCAATGGGTATCAGCCTGAAGTTTGAACCTGCAGTAAGACCAGAGTTTACACACCAGCACCCTAGAGACTGAAGCAGAGAAAGGGAGCACGAAAATAAAGCTGCCACGGGGCTCAAGGCTCAGGCCTACTCCTCACATTGTCCCACTAAGAAGCTACATTAAAGTTCACATCAACGTCTGGCTCTTAGGCTGTATGTTTGCGCTGGCCATGTCTGTCCCTGTGGCCAGCATAAGGCATTAAAAGGCTTCAGCAAGGAAGAAGAGAACAGAACCAACAGTTACTGAGTGCTTACTGCAGGCCAAGAACTTAGTATCTTATCTTCACCAATACCTTATGCATAATTATGTAAGGTACAGAGACTGAGAAAAATCTACAATGCCTCTATGCCTCCACTACTATACTACCCAACCATGAAGTCTCAATGATCTGGGAAAGACAAAGAAAAGCTAGAGTCTAAAACACTAAATAGAAGGCTCTCAGCACCTTAACTCACTAAGAAGACAATACTAGTTTAAATATTGCGTTCCTTTGAGGTCATTTCTTCTCCCAAACCTAATACTTTTCTAATTACTGTGGTTTAGTGTCTGGTTCTTTTAAAGAGGGTTTGGCTCATGCTATCTCAATACCTAGCAGAAAACTGGTAACAGTGAATAATCATTTATTCATGCATTCAGCAAATAGGTAATAGGCATGTAATGATAAATTTGCCATGTTATTTTTTTACTTCCTTAACATAACTCTTACATCAATTTCTATTGTATTTTGATGAAATAATTCAAAAAACTTCTTCCAAACAGAATCTAGAGAAATATAGCAAAAGTCATAATGATGCTGATGGCCTTTGCCCTTGTAATTTCATCCCCAAGATCGTATTTTAAGAAAACAGCTCAACAGGGATTCACTGCAAGATTCATAATAGTGACAAAAGAAAGAAAATCATCTATATGTCCAACATTAAAAGAATGGTTTGAAAAATCCCAGAACCTTCTAATCATGTAATCATTTTAAAGACCAAGAGGAAACAAAGCAAAGCATTTGTGATAAAATAAATGGAGACTGGATACAAAACATCTTAAACACTGTCACTACAACTTTGTAGACACACATACATGTGCATATGCAAAAAGGAATGGAGTTGTGTTAGGGTGGTAAGATTACAGATGGTTTTATTACCATGTGTAAATTGTCTTTTCAGTGTTGTTTAGTACCTTTTCAATCAAAGAGAAAGAGAGAGAGAAAAAGACAGACAGACTCAACCCAGCACTAAGGAAGGGCCCAGGAGGATGACGGCTGGGATGTGAAGCAGAAATTGAGAACCGTCCTACATACCTGGAAGGAAGAGGCCAGGCAGGCCCCTGGGGAAGGGAAGCCCTCTAGGTATGGAGAGGATTGTAATTAGTCTGATGCTAATTACAGAAGTCTCACCAGCTTATTAATTTTTTTTGACAGACTGAATGAACACTGAATTCCTTCATGAAGGCAACTTGAGTTCAGAGGCACATTTCCTCTGTGGCTATCCTTGTTCTTCTCAAAAACCTAGCCTTTTCTTTTTTTGAAAAAAAAAAAAAACCAGTAAAGTAAAATTTAGTAACAGAAACACAAACCCTGGAGAAATTAAGACTCCTGCCTTAAATATGGAAATTCAATCCATTTCAGAGAACCACAGGGGCTTGAATAATACTGGGAAATATAAACAGAAGTGCAAAATGTTTAGCTCAGTATTAAAGCACTCCTTGATCAGATTCTAACCCATCTTTTCAATATTACCTCATAATCGTCCTGTAGACACCCCTCGCTACAGCCAAAATTAACTACCATTGGTCCCCAAAACAATTTCTTCACTTTCCTACCCCCATGACCCTGTTCAAGCTGTTGCACCCATCTAAAAGTCCTCTTCTCTCTTACAACTGCTTACTCAAGTCTGACCCACCCTCCAAGGTACAGCTGAAAGCCAGGTCATTCTAAGCCTAAGCCAATCCCTGCACCCTGAATTCATTTCTCACTCTTCACAGTGGACACAGAGTGCATTGAACCCCTCTAAATGAGTTGTACACATTCTGCCTTACAGTACAGTTATCTACATAACTGACTTTTCTACCATATTAAACCATGAGCTCCTCCAGGGCAAGGACCCCTCCAGATTCCTACATGGAATCTATCAAAATGCCTGGCCCACAGTAGGCCCTCAGTAAATGCTTCACTGAAAGGCAAGGAAAAGAGACACATTGCATCTGTGAGAAGTCCTTCCTACCTCATTTGCTCCTGTGAGGCAATGCAGGGACGAAGGTGTGCTGTTCTGTGGTCTTGAGCAGAGGAGGAATGAATCCCGCTTCTCTGGTTTGCAGCCTTCATGAGACTCCAACTTCCTCCCAAGTTGACCATAGTCTGCTCGGCCCCAGGTAAACACCTTGCCAGTTTCTAAAACAAACATTATCTGAATTAAGGCTACATTCTACAGCTGTGTTCCCATGGGTAGACAATGAAATACTAGAGAAAGTGTGAACATTTATTTTAGCACCAACTACTATGTACCAGGAGCCTTCCTATCTTCCTGTAAAGAAAGCACAAGTATTCACATTTTTACACATGTGGGAACTGAGGTTCAGAGAGGTTACATGACTTGCCCAAGATCAAACAAGTGATAAGCACCAGGGCTGAATTCAAACAGAAGTTGATTCTAAAGCCTATGCTCTTGCATTTGAAATAGATATGTATATGACTACAGATAAAATGTCAACCACACTTTACAGCCTACCCACCCTCTACCCTCTCCACACCCTCCTTTGTGCTCTGCCCAGATGCCTGTTCTATGGCTCTTCTCTCCCCACCCAATCCAGGACCCACTTATCCACCTTGAAGTTCCCCATGCCACAATCTCCTAGGGCCTTACTCTTAGCTCAATCAATAGCCAGATTCATGTGTTTTTCCCTCCATGTAACATAAGAGGACCTTTCAGAGTCTATGCTCTTACCCAGAGAAGCAATTCTAACAGTCCCAAATCAAGTCTCTATGTGTGCAAGAGGGAAGAGAGTAAGGGGGAAAAAAAAAAAGACAAAACCATCTAAAGCCTGAAAAACATTTAGTCCCCCAAATGTACCACATGGGAAGCTGGCCAGTGCTAAAGATGGTAGTAGAAAACGAAGTTTGGAAAAAAAGAACTGGCCTTTCCTCTACCAGATAAGAGAAAATTCACCAAACTCATTCAGTTGTGCCAAGTGCCACATTTGTTATTCCAACAGAAATGCAAAATCTGGTGAGGCATAGATTATTAACAGATTCTCTGCAATAAATATGCATAACCATGTGCGCTGTATAAACTCTTTATACATGTTTATTTTAACAAAGAAAAACTTTGCTCAAGACACAAAACACCAAGCAATGCATATGAAATTATAGACAAATCTACTATATACTCTGTTTGGTATCAAAGCCTTATCTGGCCCCACATTCAACATATGGTTTATAGTGTCATCTGAAAAACAACCATAGACTCATGGAGGAAATGTCAGAATGTCACAGGGATACAGGGCTCTGCAGGGATACAGTTCTCAGCCTCTACCTGCTTGCAGACACTGGGGTAGATACAAAGCGGTTCACAGGAATCAGACTTCTGGGCTTCCTCAAAGAGAGAGCAAAGTATGTGCGGCCCACATGGCACCTCATACATTACGAAAACTGGGAGTGGGCCCATTCGGATGTGCTATCTCATGGTTCTACATGCACTGTTCCTTTTGCTAAGGACGCCCTTTCCTTGCCTGGTATACTATGGCTCAACCTTTAGAGTCCATCTCATGTACTACTTTTTCTATAAAACTTTCTTGACTCCCCAACTATCCTAAAAAGGGTAAGACTCACCCTCCTGTGAGCCACCTTTATTACTGTATTCATCAACTACTTTGTTGCCATGTAACAGATGAGAAAATTAAGGCTCAGAAAAGGGACATGCCCAGGGTCACATAGCTAAGCCACATCTTTTTCTACTAGCTCATGGTACACTCTGCATTGGTTATTCACACTGGTCCACGTCATTGCATAATCACTCAATGCTCTTCCTTCACTTTTGCATGATTAGATTAAAGAAAGCCCATGAGTGCAGGACCCATGAAGCATCCAAAACTGGCCAACTGTCCCTCTATCTGAGCTGGCTAGAATTTATAACCAGACTGCTTTAGCAGAAGATTCCCAAGAGGCTAGTGGATGAGACTGTTGCTTTTTAAATGACCTTTGCATTCCTCTGCTGGAAAGAACTAGGAAGTTGCTATCTGTAAGACAACGGAAAGGATTGTGTTATCACACATTCTACAATGAATCCTTTCTTTCACATCAAATAAAACATCTTAGAACTTTCTCTGTTATTGACTATGGATGTCCAAGACAGGCAAGACTGCCAGAATACAGTGGCACCATTATTACATCTCCAACAGCAATTCAACCATTCCACTTACATAGCACTTTTTACTTCCAAAGCACTTTACAAAGATTAACTAATTAATCCTCATACTCTCTGGGGAGGCCATAGATGTTCTATTAGAGATAAGTCCAGAAACGAGGCCGACTTGATGTTCACCCTTCAGTCTCAAGCCTAAATTTAGTGCATTCTCTGAACTTGCCTGTTTCTCTGCAAAGTATATTCTGTATTAGAAGGCTCACAGAGGCCAGAGGAAACCTTTTATTCTCCCTTTTCTTTTAAACAGACCTTTATTAACCACCTCCTAGGTACCTGGCACATTCATAGACACTATCTCAATTAATCCTCATAATAACTCTGTGACATATACATTATTGTTTATTTTACAGATGAGGTTAAACAATTTGATCAAGTTCAAACAACTAGCAAGTAGTAGAATCAAGATTTAAACCTGTGTCTTATGACTCCAAGTCCAATGGTATGGTATCTCCAATGACTGCACAGCTGCTATCACAAACTGACGAAACTTGGCTGATGAAATAGCCATTTTTACAATGTTTGAGGAGGAGAAAAAACCAGATTAAATGGATATGCTCTGTGTACCATCCAGCTTTCCTCACTAGAATGGCTTCCCAGGAGGCCATGCAAAACTCAGGACTATAAGTGCTGAAATAAAGGCATTAAACACATGGATTATGACTTTATGTCACCTAGAGTAAAAGAAAATAATGAATCCACATACAAAAAATGTTCATTAATGCACTGTAAATGTCTGCCTCAAGCTGAAGCATACTGTCAAATTGATTGCAAATTTAACAAATGAATCTTTTCAGTAAAGAATGATATATTACTGTGATAAAAAATAGATATATTAATGTCACCCAAAAAGTATAGGTGTCTCCAGATAAACGATAAATGAGAGAAATGACAAAACAGCCCAAAATAAAGTCAGCAAGTGAAATATAATTTAAAGGCACGTCCATGTAACAATGAACACAGGATAACTATAGAACTAAGAACTATACATTGGAAAAGGTCTCAACACAACACAAAACAACAGGGGCCAAATGAGTAGTATTGACAAAGAACATTTAGGGAGCCCAAAGGAAGAATTTCAAGCTAGAATTGTGCTGGCAGGCTTGACGGAATAAGCAGCATTTAAGGTGCACTTCTGGATAAGAAAAGAAAATGGGAGAATGAGGGAGAATACTGTAGAAGCAGGGAGAGGAGATGAGCAATGACATGGAAATTGAAAGACATAGGTGGGGCAGGACAGTGAGTGAGGGTTGAGGGAGAAAAATTGGGAGGGGAATCAGGGCTGCCAGGCTGAGGCCAGCCACAGGGAAATGCCAGGCTTGGTCTGGATTTCACCTTCCAGACCAGGGGTCCACAAACTTGGTTGCTTTTACTCCTTTATCAGTAAAATATTTTTAGCATACCACCAATATATGTACATTCATTTATTTATTAAAGTATGCACTTGTATTTTGCACATTTATAACTATGTGCAAAAATACACAGTACAAAACATACTCAAAAAATAGAAAATTTAAAAGCATGTGATAAAAACATATAAAAGAAGTTATAAGATTCTTTTCCACATCCACATCCTGGCAATTCATCTTGCACACTCAATTTAGGGGCTACTGCTAACTAGACCATGGGAGATTGCACACTTTTGAGCAGGGATCAGGCCTGATGAAAGGAATTTTGGGGGATGGTACATCTGGCAAAAAAGTGGACGAGGCCAGAAATACTAATACTCACGGCTAACACTTTTATGGCACCTACAAAGTGCCGGGCACCATTCTAAGCATTTTTTACATAGTGTCCTGTTTATTCCTCCAACAACCCTGTGAGTAAGGTACTCTTTTATCCCTATTTTATTGACAGGGTACAAGGTACTTACTCAAGGTCAAAAGGTAGTAAGAAAAAAGGAAAGAAGAAAACTACTATAAAATACAAGCTCAGGATACATCAGGGCCTAAACTAGGCTTGGAGTCACAGGAAAAAAAGAAAGAATTCTTAGAGCTTGGTACCTCATTAGAAGTGAGAGAAAGGGAATGGGAGGAAATATACACCACTGTGAGATTTCAGGATTTCAAGGTTAGTAGGAAGGTGATTGTATTAGTCCATTTCTGTTGCTTATGACAAAATACCCAGAACTGGGTGATTTATAAGAAAACAAAACTTATTGCTTACAGTTTCCAAGGCTGGAAAATCCAAAGTCCAGGGAACAGTTCTGGTGAGAGCCTTGGTGATGGCGACAGTGACGGCAGAGTACCACATTGCGAAAATAGTGGAGTGGAGAGAGACTAACCTCTTCATTCACTTTCCTTTTAAAGCCCTCTGAATCACACCCCTGACCACGGTTATTAATCCATTCAGTAGGGCATGGTGCTACAATGTAGTCATCTCTTCAAGGCCCCACCTTTCAATTACCATAATAGGATTTCCCACCCTCAACAGTTACAGTGGGGATTAAGCCTCAATGATGCAGGGTGGAGAGGGATCCAATCTACAGCATTCTGCCCCTGACCCCCCAAAACTCATGTCCTTTTCCCATACAAATACATTCATTTTGTCCCCAAAGTCCTAACTTGTTTCAACCCAAAAGTCCTAAGTTCTAAGTCCTACCAGCGAAATCAATACAAGTTATCTACGTCCAATATACAAGGGTGGGACAAGCATAGGGTACATATTCCCATTCATAAAAGAAGAAATAGGCCAAAAGAAAGGTGTAACAGGTCCCCAGCAAGTCCAAAACCCAGTAGGGCAGGCATTAAATCTCAAAGCTGGCAAACGGGTACCTTGACTCCATGTTTGGCATCTTCGCACCCTGGTGTGGGGGCTGGATCCCCAAGTCCTCCGGCAGCTCCACTCCTATGGCTTTCCTGGTCTCAGGCCACACTTCAGCTCTCCCAAGCTGGTGTTCCACTCTGGTACCTCTGCAAGTCTGGTGTCTCCGTGGCAGTCCCGCTCTCACGATTCCCGTGGGCATGATGCTGAT